CGGAAGGCTGGCGGAAGGCGGCGGAAGCAAAACGAGGGTTGCTCCTTTGGCGGAAGCTCGGCGGAAGGCGGCGGTAGTAAGAGATGCGCCCCCCGAAGATGCCAACTTTTTGGGGTTCATTGTTTCTGGAATCGGCCACACGTCCACCGTCCTTGCTCGCCGGTGCGACTTGGATGTCTAATAGCTGCGTTTTTACCAGCACCTCGATGCAAGTTGGCAGCCATGCGAGGGTGCGCCGATTGCGGCTCGAGAAGCACTACACGCAGGATCGTTTCGCATCGTGCTTTTTAACGCTCTCTGTCTGATTCGAACTGTGCTAGTCAGCAGTGAAGCGCGAATGACTGGATTATGTACTATGATGCTCAGCAGCCGACCATGCTAGCACATATGGGGCAATGCGACGTCTACGTTATCTAAATGAGCGAGGTGACACCATAAGTCATTATCCGTCGTGCAGCAGATTCAATCTCAGCCTTGAGATCAACCAGGCTTTGACCATTTAGAAATATGTGGAGCCAGCTTGTTCAGCCCCAAAAGTGGTTGGATTCGGGGCGATGTCACTCTCTTATCAGTCCTCGTCCACGTGAATCTCCTTCATGCCATTCCTCTGTCATCGATGTGTCTGGGCATCTGGTCAATCCAGCTGCATGCTGAAAATCCCCGCCACCATGCCTGTGCAACTGCGCAGAAGGAAAGAGACTCTGTGTAGGATCAGCCTAATTTCATAATTGCGCTTCCAGATTCTGATTCATTTTCTGGAGAATTGGTCCTGCGGGCCGCTCTGGCCGCCATGTGGCCGCCGTCGCCGCCTCGTCGCCGCCCGTCGCCTTGGCCTGCGGGCCGCTCTGGCCGCCATGTGGCCGCCGTCGCTGCCTCGTCTCCACCCGCCGCCTCGTCGCCGCCCGCTTTGCATTTCTTGGCATTGCTTTGCATTGCTTGGCATTGCTTGGCACTGCTTGGCACTGCTTGGCACTGCTTGGCACTGCTTTGCGCTGCTTGGCATTGTTTGGCATTGCTTTCATTGCTTGACATTGCTATTCATTGCATTGCGCCCCTTTGCATTGCTTCGCATGGCGTTTCGTTGCGTTGCGTTGAGTTGCTGTGCGTCGGATTGCATTTCTTTGGTTTGCTTTGCATTGTGTTGCATTGGTCTGCATTGCTTTGCGTGGCTGTGCGTTGCTTGGTGTTACTTTGCGTTGCTTTGCGCAACATCGGTTGCACCGCATGGGTTGCACCACCTAGATGGCACCACATGACTTGGACCACGTAGACTGCACCGCATACATTGCATTGCAAGACGTCGCTGTTGGGGATCCACTCTGGCTAACATCCGACGACAGATCTGAATTGCGACGGGCTGTGAACTCTACTTCGTCTTCTTCCGCGCGGTAAGGCCGAGGTCGAGTTCACGCCCCGCTGCAGTTCAGCCAGCGGTCTGAATCGAGGCGGATCGTGAACTCGACCTCATCTTCGTCCGCGAGGTAGGGAGGAGGAGGAGGAGGAGGAAGAGAAGGAGGAGGTGGAGGAGAAGGAGCAGGAGGAGAAGGAGTTCTCTTCCTCCCCCTGCGATGTGGGCCCGCCGGGCCAGAGCAAGACCGGCGCCACGCGCTGGCCCACACCGAGAGGGGACGGGCCCGTGGCGACGAGGGATCCCAGGGAGGGCCCAGAGGGCCTAAGTACACGTCGGTCGTTGAACGTAGGTATTTCCGGATTTCCAGATCCCAATCTACTTCAAGCGCCTTCCTACTTCAAGAATCGACATGCTTTTGCTGAGGTTTGTTATTCTCTGGGAGGACCTGGACCCAACCTACGTTATCCGACCTACTTCTTCCGACCGACGTGTATTTAGGAGGAGGAGGAGAAGGAGGAGGAGGAAGAGGAGGAGGAGGAGGAGGAGCAGGAAGGGCCCCTTTATAGAGTGGAGTCCAGCACACGGCGGGCGCCCCCTTTCGGCCCCTCGCCCGCGCACCAGCACGACAGGAAAATGGTCAGATCGAGGACCTCCTCCTCCCCCTCCTCCTCCTCCTCCTCCTCCTCCTCCTCCTCCTCCCCCTCCTCCTCTTCCTCCTCCTCCTCCCCCTCCTCCTCCTCCCCCTTCTCCTCCTTCTCCTCCTCTTCCTCCTCCTCCTCCTCCTCCTCCTCACGGCAGGGCTTAGGTCGGGCCTGTCCCTCTACAGGGGGATACTTAAGAATTGTCAAACATAGTATGGGGACGATTTTTTGTGTGTTATTGACCATTTTGGGGGTATGTTTTTATTTCTCGTCGAAAACCCAGTAGGGGGACAGGCCCGACCTAACAGCAGGACATGGTGACCGAGGACGGCGCACGGGTGAGGCTCACGGCAGGGCCTCGGGCGCCGTCCGCCGAGTCACCGCGGCGGCGAGCTCTTGCTCGAGGCGCTCGGTGATCGCGCGGGGCGTGCTGAGCTCCGGGCAGCGACCGACCTGCTCGAGGAGCGCCTCGATCACCCTGAGCTCCTCCTCCTGCTCCTCCTCCTCCTCCTCCTCCTCCTGCTCGTCGAAGGGCGGTTCCGCCTTCTCGCTCGGAGTGTCCTGCCTCTTGGTGCCGCCCACGTCCTCGAGAAGCCGCTCGTCGTCGTTCTCCCCCTCCTCCTGCTCCTCCTCCTCCTCCTCCTCCTCCTCCTAGTCCGCGTCGTGGCCGCACGAGTCCGAGCCGTAGTCGATCGCCTCGCACTCCACCTTCTGTTGCTGCTTGGGCATGGCTTCCACGGTCTGTGCCGCGCACTCCTCCTCGGGCACGAACTCCTCCACATTCACATGCTGTTTCAGGATGTGCCCGTCCTGCGCCTCCGCGGTCGTCCGCAGCAGCTTCTCGCACTTGACGGTTTTCCGCATGCCGTCATCTTGCTGGGCCTCTGACATCGCCACGAGTTTCTCCACGTAGACCGAACTCTGGACGGTGAGAATTCTTCGTAGGAGCTCTCTGAATCAAGGCTTCCTGGGAGCCTCCTGGGAGTCTTCTGGGGGTCTCTTGGGGGCCTCTTCGGAGCTCATGGGAGCCTCTTGGAGCCTCTTGGGCCATCTGGGGGAGCTCTTGGCCCGTCTGACGCCCTTGGAGGCTGCCTTTGGGACCTCTATGGGCCGTATTCGTGCCCTCGTGGGGCGCATTAAGGTTGTCCTGGGGCATTCTTGGGAGGCTCTTGGGCGATCTTGCGGCCCTGTTGGGCCGACTTGGGGCCCTCTTTGGGGGACTCATGGGCTGCCCTTGAGCTATCCTGGAGGCCTCTTGGGCCGTCTTGGGCGGTCGGAAGCCCAAACACGCGAAAGTTCAAAAACCTTGAACCTACGGAACGAAGTGTCTCGCCTTCTCGGGCTCTCCTAGTAGGCCTCTTGGAGCCCTCTTGGGCCGTCTTGGATGCCAATCGAATCGTCTTGAAACAGTTTGGGAGCCTCTGATGCTGTCTTGGGCCGCCTTGGTGTCAGCTTGGCTGTCTTGGAAGCTGTCTTGCTAGCCATATTCGTCGTCTGGAGGAGGCAAGCCTTACAAGAGGGCCCCACAACGGCACAAGAGGGCTTCAAGGCACCCAAAATGGCCCCCAGAGGACCGCCCCCCTGCGGCCCAATGACGGACGCAGCTTTGACGCAAAACTTCCCAAGAACACCACCGAACTGGAAAACCCTTGTTACACACGCCGATGACGTAGACAGCTTTGAACGCCAAGGGCTCCCAAAGCGAGCAGCTGCGCAGAAAGTTCTTAACGACAAGGCTCCCACGAGCGAACGTCAACGTACACATCTCTGAACGCCAAAGCTCCCGAGAGCGAACGGTGACGTAAACATCTCGTAATTCACGGTGAAGTCAACAGCTCTTCACACCAAGGCTCCCAAGATCAACCGACAACGTGAAACAAATGTTCGCACCAAGGCACAGTGCAGTGAGTTATCAGTAACTGCTCAACGTCATGACCACTGGGGCCAGGTATGGTGATGCCTTTTGCTTTTGTATGGGCCGAGGGAAGCGACATCCTGTTCCAGACATAGATCGTTAACGGTGACGTGAAACAGCTCTTAACGCCAAAGCTCCCACGAGCGAAAGATGCCATGAGCCTTCTCGGGCATGTTCCTGAAGCGCTCTTTCCCTTCCTGTACCGACCCAGGTTCTAACACGCCCACTCGGTGCAGGCACGACGGCGGATTCCCATTGACATATATTGCCGGGCAGATCTGCCCAGGTTTGTGTATGCGCGACCTTCGTCAGCAGCCAGACTGCCTGAATATTTGCCCAGCGCATCCGATGGCAACAGGATAGGACTCGAGATGCAGGAGTATAATATCCATGATGATGAGGTGAGGGCGGCGGGAAGAGGAGGATCAGGATGAGGAGGGACACGGAGGATGACGGTGACGACGGCGGCGAGGATGATGGCCAGGATAGGGATGCGGAGATGACGGGCTGTTGAGGACAATGGGTCGGGGCGATGAGGAGGGTGGAGGGCGTTTGCAACGAGGTGGAGAATGAGTGTAAAAGATGACTCCGATGATGACGACGAGGAGTCGGAGAAGGACGACATGGAGGATCAGTGGCAGGCGAGTGCGGCGTCGGACGGAACCGGATATGCACCTTTGATCGCCCTCGACGTTCATGATTCTCTTATCGTGCCACCGTGTCTCACGCTCACATCGTTCGTCGCCGTCACCGTTCTGGCTCAAGATATTTGGTTCGGGTGCCGCCGCATTCTGGCAGCACGTCTCCTCTGCAAGAGGCCGATACTCCAGATTTCGTAATAAAAGGGAGGGGGTCTGGACCCTCCAAGACAAGCCATTTCAGACCCCCCCCGTGGGAGAACCCTCCAAAACATCGTCCCCAGACCCCCCCAGGCCCTCCAAGATAGCTTGGAAAAGACCCCCCCCCCCGAAATGAGACCCCCCTCCCTTTATTACGAAATCTGGAGTACCTCAACCGTACTCTATCGATACACGCGCCGCCGTGCAAGGTCGGGCGGTCGACCCCGCCCCTCTTGCGCACCAGCCAGGATCCCATGGCGACCACGAGCAGGGCCGTCTTGCTGGCCTCCGCTGCAGGCTTGGCGGCGGGCCTCCGGGTCAGTACGCACGCGAACGAGATCATCGAGGCCGCACTCGCCAGGCTCGAGGGGATGTGGCCCGAGACGGGGAAGGAGATGCTGGAGGATGTCTTCAGCAGCAACCCGCCTCGCGACGAGGGCAGAGCCTTGCAGCAGAGGTTGCTGCAGAAGTTCAGGGACCACAGTGCTTTCGTCTTCGCCGCCTTCGGCTCTTCGGTGTCCGCCGGCCACGACAACTTCATGAATCAGAGCTGGCCTTTCGAGCTCGAGCGCCTCCTGAAGCCCACATTCACGGAGCTCGGGTTCGATTTCGAGATGCGCCAGCGTTCTGCCGGCGGCTACGGAGAAATGCCCTTTGGCGCTGGGTGCCTCGCCAGCCGCGCGGGCGAAGGGGTGGACGCATTGACTTGGGAATGGCACATGTTCAACGACGCTCCTTGCGAAGGCCACCACTTCCTTAGCGAGGCGGCCGCCATGGAAAGCAGCCCGATGGTCTTCGCGTTCGCCGACACCAGCATCCCTTTCAAGGCAGCCCTCAGGGCGTCGAATGGGGAGCGCACGTGCAATGACGTCCGGTCTGAGGCGCGCGAGGATATGTTGAGAAACCACGATGGTACGTTTGAATTTCCCGCGCGTAAATGGAAGCCGAACGAGTGGTACCTCAGCGAGGACTTCGTTTCCAACGCAGAAGTCGAAAAGTACAGTAACGAGTTGGAGTACATGCACTGCAAGGGCACCGACGCGAATCCACGATTCGGCCCATCGGGGGTGCATCTGCAGCGGACAGGTGTGGCAGCGCCGTTCGAGCAGGCTGGCCATGCTTTCTACCCGGTATCCATAGGAGATGCCACGAAGCGCGTCGTCAACCTCCCTTGGTACCAAGCTCGGGAGAAAGCGTTCAATGTGAACTGGCATCCAGGACCCTTGGGTCACACCCTCATCGCCTCGTCCATGGCGCACTTCTTCCTCACCAACCTCAAGGGCGCTCTTGCTCCCGAAGTTGGGAGGCTGAAGGGGCCCTCGGCGGACAACCCCCTGGTCGGGAAGCCCGTCCTTGCTCCCTCGGATGCTGCGCCGCAGTGTGGCAGCCTTCGCTCCAAGCAGTGCAGGACCGGGATGCTCCCCACAGCCGAAGGGACTGGCCTTGCGGGGTCCAGGGACCCCGATTCGGACGACACCTGGGAGTTCTTGACCTCCAAGCAGGCTGCGGAGCACGGGACGAAGGCTGTGGACAGTCGCATGGTCTACAGAGGTACGAAGAACTCTGGGGAGTTGAAGCTCAATTTCAAAGCACCCAGCGACGGCATGTATGTGATCCTCTGCGGAGCCCCGTGCGGCTGGACTTGCAGCGGAAAGGCCGGCTACGTGTCGTCGAAATCGCAGCGCTGGTGGCCCGATAAGGCTCCTGCCCGCCAGAACGTGAGTGACCTGACGTTCACTATCGACGGCAGAGGGATCTCGGGCGAGGAGCTGCATGACCTGCACGATGAGATCTTCCACGAGAATGCTGGTAAGTTCTGCCCGGGCTGCAAGAACCCAGCGGACGTCTGCCAGCCAGTTGCGAAGGTGGACGCTGGACCGCACAAGGTCGGGGCGAAGGTGGAGCCCCGCACCTGGGAGGGCGACGGCGACGTCTTCGTCGAGATCATGGAGCTCTTAGTGGTGGGGTGACAGGCTGTCTCAAGAGGGCCCCTTCGAGGCCTTTGTCGATCGGCCATGTCCGAGAGCTCATTATCATTTTTCCTTATCGATTGTCAGGGTCGCCAGCCTTCCTTCGCCGAATGACCAGCTGAGCCATGAGCTCTGCTGCTAGCCCCATCGTGCCCGCGGTATCTGTTGACTCCTACCTGGGTGTCACTACGGTAAGCTTCTGCTCCATAGTGCTTCTCCTCCTTCTCCTGTCGAGGACCTTCGTACGCGCCCTTCAGCTCACTCCCTGCGTGTGGTTGGCGGGAGGCGCCCACAGCCAGCACGTGGCAATTTCCATATTCCGAGTTAGGCCATCAGATTACTGGGCATCACTTGCACGCGTGACGATTTTGTCCCAGCGGTCAGGCTGCTCGGGCTGGTGGTAGCCAGAGCTAGATGTCTCTCGGCAGACTGATGCCTCATTTCTGGGAAATGTGTTCTCATCGCCCGTCCTTTCCGTCCATCCTGGCTCGTGTTCGAGCTATCGCGTGGCTGTCCTGTCGTATCTCGTTCTTCTCTTGCCCAGTTTTCCTAACCAGGTCGCCTCCGATCCTCTTGCTGCTGCCGCGACTTCCTCCATGCTCCTTCTCCAGATCCTATCCCTCGTCGTCTGTCGTATATTCTGCCCCTCCGTGAACAGCCAGTCTCTGGCTCTCTGTCTCGTCCTCTCCATCTGCCACCTGACCTCTGGAGGCCCGAGAATATGTCCCGTACGTCCAAACACCGGTCCTCGACCCTCGTCCATCTTCGTTCGTAGAACTTAGATTTGGGCCCCACACGTTCAAACAGCGATCCTCGACCCTCGGTCATGCTCGTTCTGCGAACCTAGAACTCCCTTTCTTTCTACCTCTCTTCCTCTTTCCGTATCCCTCTCTCTCTCTCTATATATATATATATCTCTCTCTCTCCCGTTCTCTCTCCCTCTCTCTCTCCCGTTCTCTCTCTCTCTCTCGCGTTCTCTCTCTCTCTCTCTCTCTCCCGTTCTCTCTCTCTCTCTCTCCCGTTCTCTCTCTCTCTCTCGCGTTCTCTCTCTCTCTCTCTATCCGTCCGTCCGTCCGTCCGTCTGTCTGTCTGTCTGTCTGTCTCTCTGTCTGTCTGTCTGTCTGTTCGTTTGTCTGTCTGTCTGCCTGCCTGCCTGCCTGCCTGCCTGCCTGTCTGTCTGTCTGTCTGTCTGTGTCTGTCTGTGTCTGTCTGTGTCTGCCTGTCGGTCTGTCTGTCCGTCTGACTTTGTCTCTGCCCCCCCTCCCCTGGCATGCGCCGAGGGCGCCGATGGATGGGCCCATGCGTCGCGCTTCTGCCTCCCTCCTCTTCCACTCCTCCCCACCACGGAAGAGAGCCCAGCCCGTGTGCATGTGTTTCCATGTCGCCCGTCTCAGAAGACTGGAGCGTCGACGGGGAAAGGGGGCCTCCGAGAGGCTCCGCCGTCCCGTGGGCCCCTCCCCGCGGGCCCCCCCCCCCGAAACGCCCTGCAGGACGCGCGCCGCAGGGCGCGGCGCTCCGGACGGAGCCCCCCCTTCCGCCCCCAGAGGCCTCGGGACCCGCTCGGCCCCCGGAGCCCCCCCTCGTGGCCGGCTCTCGCTCTCAGCATCGCGGCGCGGAGGTTGTCACAGCTGCCGCGGCCTCTCTCAAAGGCTCCTGCCCTCGCGGGTCCGAGAAACGGAGGGTCCCCAGAGGCCCGGGGCCCGCTCGACCATGGGAGCCCCCCCTCGTGGCCAGCTCCCTCGGGGTGGCGCCAGGGGGCGACCACGCTCTCCAGAGCGCGGGGTGGAAGTTCGCAGGCGATGTTTCGCCCCATGCGTGTATCCCAGGGTTCTCGCCGTCTTGCTTTTGCTGGGCCTCTTGGGGTTCTCCCCTCGCACGTGCATCCCGGCGTTGGCTTTTGGCCCGCTGGCAATTATCTCGCTTGGCCCCCCATGCTTGCTACGCCCTCTCTGGCACATGTGCACTCCGGCGTCGGCTTTTGGCCCCCTGGCAATTATCTTGCGTGCTGCCCCATGCTTGATACGACCCGCTCGCTGGAATCGTCCTTGGAGCCGCAGATCAAACAGAAAAGAAAGTATCCCAGGGTTGGGCCCCAAATTTCTGGTCCGTTCGACAACCCCTGCGAAGCTTGGGATAAAGGGGGTCGGCGCACCCCCTGGTACACAGCGCGGGGTGGAAGTTGCCACAGCTTCTGTCTTTCTCTCTCTCTCTCTCGCCCTCCGCCTCGGCTCAGGGCGAGCCCGAACGCCAAGCGTCCCGCATCCAGTTCTTGCCTTGCGAGACCGGACACAGCCCATCCCCAAGCTGTGACAAAGGGGCGTCGCCTTCACCTTCAGTCCACGCGCGCGCCGTGGTTTAAGGCCCCCAAAAAATCCTGCCGTGAGCGTGGGAGGTACACTCCTACGGGCATCCCATACAAAACCGCCCCAAGGCCACCGCGCACACAGGCTGAAACCACCGACAGAGCCGCACCTTCGCGTGCCGGAGCCATGCCGTCTTTCTTGGAGGGCCGACCCAGCGTCGACCCACGGTACGGCTCTGAACAGGGGGCCCGTCTCGGTCCAGAGGCGGCCTCCGCGGCGCTTGCCAGAGTGGGCCTGGCGCCCGCCAGGAGTCAAGCCAGCCAGCCACGACCATTGCCAGCACCGCGGCCGAAGCACGGGCGCAGTTCCCTGGCATGGGCATCTCGAGCAGCCCAGCAGGACCACCGGCTACTGGGGGCCAGTTGGCCGAGGGACGGGCCACCATAACCTCCTTCTCACCCGTGCCAGAGACAAGCGGGATCACGCTGCGCAGCCTCCGGATGGCGGGCGGTCCACCAGAATCCGCGGCGTCAGCGGCAGTAGCCAGATCCTTGCAGAAATACCGCGATGAGAGCCCCGACTCTGACGTGGATGAGAACTGCCACCCCCGCAACCTGGATACCAAGTACGATGACGTCGAGGACCCAGGAGACGCTGAAGCGGAGGCCGGTGCGGCGACGATCGCTGGTGTTGAGCGGCGCGCGAGCTACGCTGCGCTCGCTCGCGGATGCATGATCTCGCGCGCCGCCGCCGCCGCTGCCGGGAGAGGGGCCGGAACCGCTGCCGCCGCCTGCGCCGCCGTCGCATCGGTCGTCCCGCTGTCCCTCGCCTCTCGCCCCTTCGCGCAGACGAGGATGACAGGGGGCGTTTTAGTTATTGTTTTTGTTTTTACGTTGAATTCCCTTTTGGCGCGTTCTTCGGATGCCCGCTGTCTTGTCTCGACCAGGCATGCCCTCTTGGACTTCGACACGTGGCCCGACAAGCCGCGCCGACGGCCCCAGGTGGCCCATTTGGTTGGCGCCAACGTCGCCAGTGTCGACGCAAACTGCAACGTCCTCATCAAACTGCACGACCTTCATAGCGCCACCATCTTTGCTCTCAGGAAACCAAACACCCCGCAGCCAGATTACGCGCCTTCGACAGGCGCACCCGTTCACTCGACAAGGGAAGACAATCGGGCGCGAAGACCCGCGCGGAGGCGATGCAGGGCGCGACAGAGGGACTGGCCGCAGAGCGCGAGCCACCGCAGCCAAACACGGAGGCGCGCGCATCGCTGCCCAAGGGGCCCTCGTCGACACTGCCGCGGGCGACCCCGCTCGCGCCCCACTTCTCGCGACCGCGCGACGGCTGCCCCATTCTCGGCCCCCCTTCAGCCACCAGGCAGAGGAGGGCCATGGGACATAGAGACGTCGCCGACAGCCTCTGCGTCGCCAATGTCCACGGCAAAGCCGGCCTCACTACGCGGCCCAAGCCCGCCGGGCACGAGGCGCTTCTAACAGAGTCGGGGGCGCGCCGTGCTTGGTCTGCGCGTTGACGCCTAGAGCGAGATCAGCGGGTCCGCCGTTCTTACCCGCGCCCTCTCGCTAGGATGGGCAGACGTTGCCGAGGGCTTCCCAGATGGGCGCCCCTGCGCGCGCGGGCAAAACCTGGGCGGGGGGCGCAGATCGCCAGGTGCTGGCAGGACGCGCATCGACTGCGTCGTCGCCAACGCCAGAGGGAGACACTTCGTCGCCGACTTTGCCCCGCGACCCCCCTGCAGAGCAACGCCTCGGCTTTCAGGTCGCGCTGGGCCTCGGCTTGGCAAGTCAATCAGCGAGGGGCGCGCGGGGCGTCGCGCCACGCCCGCCAGCGCATCCAGCGACCGACCCGGACGACCAGCCAGCCCTGGTCGACCGCGTCGAAACTATGCACCGACCGCGCATGTGGGAGGCCAGCCGCGCCAACGACGTGGACAATCTGTTGGAGCTGGACGATCGGGCTGCGCGCGCCGCCAACCGCAAGCTCAGCCGCGTCGCCCCGCCAACCAGCCAGCCAGGGCGGGCCGCGCGCGACGCGAACGCGGCACTGCGCTGTGCCGCGCTTCATCAACGCATTCGCCGCCCCCGTGGATCTGCGTCGCAGAGCCGCGAACCCAGCGGCGCTCGCGACGCGCGCGTTGCGACGACCACAACTTCGATCTATCTATATGAGCCCCCCTGGTAAGCCACCAGGGCTGTCGGTCTAGGCATGGCGCGAGCCGCGCCCAGATGTGGGGCGCAGCCAGGCGCGCCAGGGCGGCCGTCAACCTGCTTTCCCAGCGGCGCCGGTCGACTCGCTTCACGGAGTTCCCGCGCGCGCGGGGCCCGGGGGGGCCGCCCGTCGACCGTCGTTTGGGCGAGCCCACAGCGCGCGCCGCAGCCGAGCACCAAAGGCGCGAACGGGCCGCCCGCACAGCGACCCGGCGCAACCGAATTCGAGCAACAGACAGCGGCAGGGCCAAAAGCCTTTTGGTCATAGCTGCTAACAGCATCAGCACCTGGTACTCATAGATGTCCAAACCGTGGTGAAGAAAATGAATGAGGCGCGCACGAAATCCGATGCAAACGACGAAGGGGGTTGCTGTGACTGCGCAGGTGGCGCTGCCGCGCGCGGGGGGGTTGGTGGCCGCGCGCTGATCCCTTTGACCCCGCGGTGGTTAGCCGTCGCGTCTTATCGTGT